GGGAGGCACGTGGCAAGCTTTGATCTACTGAGTGGTTCCCATAAAATATAATTAACTATTATTTTACCCCAAATAATCTTATTAAAAATTCAATCAAAAAATCTATTTTTAAAGTTATTTTTGTAATTATTATTTATTGTGTTTACACATTACTGTTCCCTAATGTTTAAATTTTATTTCTTTTTTTGGTAAACAAAAAAAAGAAGTTAATAATTATAAGAATTTGAATGAAAATTGTTAATAACATTTAATTCAAATCGTTAAAAAAAAACAATTATTATATTTTATTAAAGATTTTATTATATCTTCAATTATTTTAAGATAACATGTTATAATATATTATTGCCCATCATTCTATTCTATTTTTGTTATAAAAAATATGAATTGATAGTTCGATATGGTTCGATTAGAAACGGTTGGTAACAATTAATGTGTACCACCCTATATAGCAAGAGTAACAGCCCTCGAGGAACCGGTCGCACATCGTCTGGGTTGCGTTGTCGTTTCGTGGCTCGACAACCTTGAGAAGAGAGCGTGAATGCAACATTTTCTCTGCTTTCGATCGCCATAAGGAAGTCTTAGAAAATTAAACGAACAAGTTCACGGACTCTTCTAGACATTTATCCCTTTTTTTATATAATTGATTGGCGAATGTGACGAATAATCCGAAAAAGAAACAGAAAAGCGCGCCTACGAGAACATTTGAATGTTAACTTTCCCGCCAAAATTTATAGAATGAAAATTTCCTATTTTCTTTGTTAACTTTGCTAGTACAAATGATTATATGTTTCTTCAGGTTGCAATTAGAGTAGAAAGACTAATATGAGAAGGGAGTACCAGTTGGCATAACATGTGACGAAATTGTAAGGACATCCGCCATCTTGGTATGTCAATTTTATTCGCGCAAAGAAGTGGTACGTGTGGCTCATATAAAAAACTTACTTACGTATACTAACATGTGGCGGGAGAAATACGAAGAATTTTTCAACGATGATGTGTTTACTTATTTCTTTTTCCCTTCTTCTCCATAAAATTTTATTTCAACATATATTATATAGCTAGAATTAAATTTAATATAGTATATGCTATACGTTATTATGATAATTTCTTCCATAACTTTTAGTATGGTATATACTATAGTATATAATATTAAAATACGTTATAATGTATTAAAATTATACAGTATAATTTTAGTTATACCCTACAATATATTAAATTCTATATTATACTCTGTTTATGTTGTTCCAATAAACATTTGATATCATATACCATACGATTTATAATATAAATTTAAACATTTCGCGCATATTAATTAACCATCATTATTTTACTCGTTTGGTTCGTAAACCGTTACAAGGTGTTCTAGGTAAATACAAAGGGGAATAATAAAAGAAAAATAGAAAGAAATAAGAAAAAGAAAAACGGCCATGACCACAGTTGTCCTCGATGAGTCGCCCTATTCCTAAACGATCGTTTCACTCTAGGTCTGACGTGGACATCCTCAGGGTCATAGCGTCGGGAAGATTCTACAAATGACCTCCACATCGTACCTCATGGAATATGTATATTTGTCAGGAGTATAGAGTTAAAGAAACAACGAGAAAGAAGAGTATGAGATAGCAAAGTGGAAAGACATACGGCTAGCCAATGTGAATAATTGATCGTCCTAATGGAACGACATCGTATACCATGACCGGCTTTTCGAGTCACGCGCCCGCGTACAACATAAGAAACCAAACTATGAAGATGTATCCCGTGTAGCCGGTCTATCTATTTTCTTTTATCTTTTTATGATCTCGTACAGAAAAAAGAAGCCCTGTCTGTATCAAGTTACCTTTACTTTTTTTCCAGGAATACATATATAATTAATTAATTAATTAATTAATGTATGCATATATGTATCTATCATCAATTTGCTTGTTTCTAATTAGTGTAAGTGATCCAAACTGTGGGTTCTTAAATTAATGGAAAAAAGTGACAACGAATGAACGTTTTTATCTGATAGTAAACTCTTTTATACGTTTACTATGATAATACTTATCTATTTTTAAGAAATTCTTTGTTTATAATTAATGTTTACTGATTTTGAGCTATTGCTTCAATAAATAAGTCAATTTGATTTCCACTTGACCATGACAAAATCTATCTTTAATCAATATTTGATAAAAAGATATATCTGTACGTAATTATCTGGAAGGAATATTTATTTTGTTAAGAAATAGTAATTAAAAAAAGAGATGTGAGATATCCATTCAATCGGAATCGAAACTCAAATATTACCCTTTGTCAAATACATATATATATATATGCATATGTATACTAACATAAATCATACCACATCATGCATATGTATATAGTAAGATTTTCATTTGTATATTGCCATGACAATTGTGTATAAAACTCATTGAATTTCATGGAAAAGAAAGATGAGAAAATACGAAAAAAAAGAAAGAGAGAAAGAGAAAGAGAGAAAACTAAAACGAGAACGAGAGTGAGAAAGAAAAGAAAGAGAAAGAGGAATTTTTAGTATCTAGAGCAAACGTCAAGACAACGAGGACTACGACGATGAGTAGAAACGAATAGAAAGCACGATTCTCATCATCAATATATATATATATATAATACTTACTTGTATTGTATCTCCTGATTGATTCCAGACAATAATTTTCGAGAATACTTTCTCGAGGTACGATGCGGAATCGAATTTTATCGAAGAGAAAGAGTAACAGTAGCAGTAGTAGTAATAATACTAGTATTGGTGATGATAGTTGTAGTAGTAAAAACCGGCATCATCCGTTGTGAATTATGATTCGAGAAAGGTAAGAAAGAGAGAATTATAGAATAATAGAGACGAGTGATATCGGTGGCACGAAAAAAAATGAGATCTACTTGATGTATGTACGTATGTATGTATGTATGTATATCCTAGAAAAATCTTGAACACGTTTCGAGGATACAACACTGTATGTTTTCCCTTGACACTGTGTAGTAGTAGTCGTCTATCTTATTCTTTCGTAGTCGTCTTATTGACTAACTCTAGTCGATATTATTATCGGGAATTGTAATTGGCACTCTCTCTCTCTCTCTCTCTCTCTCTCTTTCTCTCTCTTTTTCATTCTCCCTTCTATCCTGAATACAACTAACACTGTGTTAAGAACACTGCAACACTACACCACACCACCGGCATTACAAACTCAAAGTTGCCACCGTGACGTAGACGTTCCCTCGACACCTCGTAAAAACGTCCACCGATAGAGAATCGGATTCCCCTACTCGTTCCTTTATCTCTATCTCTTTCTTCCTCCCACCCTTTACACTCTCCTTCTCTTTCTCTCTCTCTCTCTCTTTTGCTCTTTCGCGAGTAGAACGCGTTGTCGACCTTTCCTTAGCGATTTCTTTTGCTTTCGAACATTAACCGCTGTCGTTTGAGAAACACCGGCTTCTCAACGTCGTCGTTGACGAGTACAAGAATACAAAAATTAACACGACGAAAACAACAAGAGAATTTTTCTCTCAACTGTTGTTTTCACAAGAAATATATCATCACGGAAGCCACACGCTCATCGTTGTAGAAAACACGCAACAACGATATACATATTATAGAATAAAGGTAAAAAAAAAAAAAAGATACGTCGAGAGAACTGACAGAGGGATAGACAGCAGGGTGGGTGGTGTATGCATGTGTTTCCTCTTCTTTGATCTGCTGTTCTATATATGTATGCATGTGAACAACAACATCATGAAAACAGAGAATTCGATTTCGATTCGAATAAATAAATATATAAATAAATAAATAAATAAATAAATAGAAATAAATGAAAATCAAAGAAAATAAAGTAATAGAATTAAAAACACGCTTTTTTTTTTTATTTAAACAAAATAAAAACGATAATGACGTACAACGCAGATTTCATCTGTTCAGAGACTAGATTAGAATTCTCGCCATGCTTGTTTGAGAAAAGCACAAGGAAAAAAAGAAAGAGGAAAAGAGAGAGAGAGAGAGAGAGAGGGATATACTTCGTATATATATATATATCTATCTATCTATCTATCTATCTATTATCTATTTATTATTTATCTCTTCCTCTTCCTATTTTTATATCTTTTTTTTCACAATTTATAAAAAGGAAAAAATGTAAAAATAAATGAAGAAAATATAATGCAATGTGCGTATGTGTGTGTATATCTGGATAACGCGGTGCAACGAGTTTAGGGAACGAGATGAGAGAGAGAGAGATAGCTCGCTCGTGCAACGACCGCACCACTCGAGCAACAGCATCCGACTGACGACGGGCACGACGAGTGCCTCGCGATCGGTTCGGTCTTCATCAGCAACGCCGACGAAGCGTTGGCGGGATTGGCGACACCCTTCTTATTTCCATTATATTCCCCGACTTCTCTCGAACGAGAGGGTGTTTGTTGCCACCATCGAGACTACCAACATCGCTGCCAACGACCGTTCCGTCCGTTCCTTTTCTATTATCTGTCGATTCAAAGGGGGCGTTTCTTCCTTCTCTCGAGTAATATCGATTTAAACTTTTAAACTCGAATTTAATCGATTATCTTTTTTTCCTATTCGATTTATCTCGCTCTCTCTCTCTCTCTCTCTCTTTCTTTTTCTTTTTCTACGCTTTTCTTTATTTTTTCTATTCTCTTGCATCTATTTATTAAGTTAATTATTTGTTTTTCTTTTTTTCTTTTTTTTGTTTAAATTCATTAAAATTAATAAATATTAACGTTATATTTATAATTTATTAATAAACGAATATTGTGTGTATATATTACGAGATTTAAAAATGCAACCATATTGAATATTTTGTTTTTTTGTTTTTTTTTGAAATAGTGGCGGGAAATTCGTATCCTTATATATTCGATGACTATTCATTTGATTCGTGTAGAAAGTAAGAAATATACATATATATATATATTTCCCTCTCTCTCTCTCTCTCACATACTTTCTCTTTACCTCTCTTTCTTTCTCTTTTTACGTACAGACAGAATAGAATCATGAACATTTTATTGTATTTTACATTAATTTTGCGAAACGGTCGAGTCAAGTTTTGATTTATCTTTGAAAAAAACACTCGACGTTACTCTTCTTTCCACATTCCTTTTTCTCCTTTTTATATTTTCTCCTATGCAAACTGGCAACGCAAGCAATCCTGCCAATGCCATTGGGAGAGAGAGAGATAGAGTCGGATTATATAGCATTGAGAAGACTAGTGCTGAACAGTCAGTTTATATATTACTGCAGCGAATCATAATGGGCTTCGCTCGGTAACTTAACATTTTAAATGATTAGGTTTGAATAATGTCACTACTTATTTGCAATCCGATCATCGTGTTTAAAACAATACCAAAATTGAATATTTCAAATAACGTCATTTCAATATCCGGCCAAATGTAACGATTTATATGATTCTAAGGTGAGAAATTTTTAACTACTTTATATTGTTTAAAAATATGTTTTACGTATTTTCTTTTTTTTTTTTTTTATAAAAATCATTATGTAATAAATAATAGCTGCTATTTATTTTGATCAGTATTTATAAAATAAAATCAGTATGTGATTTAAATAATCAGTATTATGAAGGTTACTAAAAGAGTTATCAGTATCTATAATAAAATATTATACATCTGTGTGCATATCAGCCTGACGTAATTTTCATACTATTCTGTTCTATAAATACAAACTGTTATTAACACCGAACAAAATATTCATATACAGTGATTGTCTTGCAAAGTACTAGTCAAATAAACAGAAATAGGAAAGTTATAGATTGTGAAACATATATTACAGGAAAGTTAGATAATATTTTTATGTCATTTATTAATAAATAAGATTGACAACTAAAACAGTGTATATAATTGTTCTTATAAGGATATAATATTTCTATGTCACTTTATTATATTCTCTTTTGCTCTATTTTATTCAGGCATAAGGATGTCAAAGCGACTCAGCTTCTATGCTCTGGTTGGCCTGGCGTCCCTCTGCATCTTCTTCTTTGCATTTAATCAGCGCTACAGCAGCTATCTTGAACATCGACTACAGCCGGTATTATCGGTCAGTAATTATTCGGAGGTGAGGATTGCTCTTAATTGAGTCACGCCAAACACACTCTTTTCTACGGTAAAATCAAACTCTTCCACCTAACTTTTTCTTCTTTAAGAGCTAACAATATGTTTGCCAAAGTGTGTCTCACATAGTTTAGAAATGTTCTTTCTCCCTGTTTCTCTATCGTCTAACTATTTATTTTATTCTCTTACACTTTGGTTTTCCTTTATTGATGGATTAATTAGCACACAAGTTATTAAAGACAAATATTTTGACCTTTTCTTACTTTTCTTTCATACCATTAGTTTGATTTTGATATTTTCCTTTTACGTTTTGGGACTGTGTATGTTCTTCTAAATATTCTTTTTCTTATTCTTATTTGCCTTGTTCTTTTCTTTTTGTGCTACACTTATTTCAAACTATTCACTTATTATTATTATTATTATTATTATTGTATTGTAGTATAAATTTTCCTAAATTACCAAATCATATATGATTTTGAGGGGGAGAAAGAATTCTTGTTATCATACCTAAAATATTATCATATATCTTCCACGAGCACACAATTAAAAGATTAAGAAACTCGATACTTCTTCGATATAGGACGTTGAAATAAGGCCACGGATCGTCAGAATCCCAGAATCTGTAACGGTAAGCTTAATATATATGAACACATCTATTAAAAAATCTTTGTTTTGCAACAATAAATAATATCTGCATGTCATAGTTGAGCCTAATCATAGAAAAATGAAGTATGATGTACGTTTACGATACTTATCGATATCTGGATCGTTTGTTATATAGGTAATTATATGTCTAACTTATTATTATTGTGTTTTTAATTTGTTAAAACATTTCATATAAATATATATATATATGTATATATATATATATATATATATATTTGATCATTCTCTATGATATTTGTCATAAACGTCTTACATAAATAACTAAACATTAAACTAAAATGTATTTTTAATAGCCAAATATATTAAATTATAATTAATTTAAAATTTATTCTTCTTTATGCATTTAGTTATAGACATACTAGTACAGTAATTCTTTTATTTACGCGAATTCTCTTTAACACGCTTGAAATATCTACCAGAACACCATGCTCTGTTATGTTATGTAAAAATACAAATTCGGGGATTCCTGATTGTAATTTATTTCGTTATCGCTTAAACTTACTTTTCTACAGCAGTAAAAGTTAAATGCATATTTGATAATATGAAACGGATCTTTATTTTAAAGGATTTTTCATAATTCAATTTACACGGTTTTCATTTATGCACTATTTTTGTGGAATCAATTACTTGCGTTAATTGAGAGATTAATATAATTAATTGTACTATCTTTCCATTTCATGTTTAATTTTTATTAGTGAACATTGATATAGGCATATTGCTTGTAAGTATGATTTAATGCTTCAAAAAATGATCTGATTGTATTATATGTTTTGTAAATAATACTGTGCTGCTGATTTGCATTGTCGCATATGTTGCATATATTCTAAAAATATGTGAAAATGTGTGTAATGTCTTGATAACAAAAATGAAAGATAAAAAAATCATTTCCTATTTTATTAGACCTATATAAATTTTTGTTAATAGGCATACATCAGAAGTGGAAACGATAATGCTACGGTTATTGAAATACAAGAAGTCTTAGATCAACAAAGGAGAGCCATAGAAAGGGAGATGCAAAATTACGAATATCCTAATGGAAAATATGGTCTCAATATTAGGTGAAACAAATGCAATATAAATTCATTACCTTTTATAATCCATATACCGTAAATTAAAACATGTGTTTTGTATTTACATGTATACAGTAAATTGGATGACTTAGTTATGGAAAAAGGTGGTGCTCCAATGAGAAGTATAATTTTAACAAGTTGGCGAAGTGGTAGCACATTCCTTGGTGATGTCATAAATGCACATCCAGCAAATTTCTACCACTATGAACCATTGCTTGATTTTGGAATTGTACAAATCAGAGGTCCGCCACTTGCAGAGGAAGCACTGGAAAATATTGAATCCTTGTTAAATTGCAATTTTCATAATCTTGGTAAGAATGTATGAACCTAAATAGAATTATGATTAAAAATGAAGTAACATATAAGAAGTAATAACATAAAATTGATTATATAATTGTAGATAGGTATTTAGAATATGGAAAAACTCATCCATGGGTCTTTAATCACAATACACATTTATGGCGTCAATGTCAAGTACATAAAAAAATATGTTGGGACTCTCGTTTTGTTTCAAAATTCTGTCAATTATTTCCATTTCAATCGATGAAACTTGTTCGTTTAAGATTACGCGCTGCAGAGGATCTTTTAGCTCAAAAACGGTAAATTAATAAATCCTAAAATTTAATTTTATTATGTACATTTAATACTATGGAATACACTATTATCTATTTAGTTTAGGGATAAGATTAGTATTATTAATACGTGATCCACGAGGAATTTTACAATCAAGAAAGCATAGAGAATGGTGTCCTACCAGTCCTGATTGTTCAGATCCAGCTTTGGTCTGTGCCGATATGGTTTCAGATTTTAGTGCTGCAGTACGTTTGATAAAAAAGTATCCACATTCCTTCAGGTAAATATTAATCTAATAAAGTTTACATTAATTTGTTCAAATACATTTCTTATCATTGTGTCTTGTACAAGATCTCAATAATTAAATAATATAATATATGTTTTAAATATAATATATTTGATACGTGTTATTTAATAGGGTGGTGCGATATGAAGATCTATCAGTAGAGCCATACAAATATGTGAAAGAACTTTATACATTTTATGGCTTGGATTTTCATCCTAATGTAAAAAGATTTTTAGATACTCATACAAAAAGTGACGTTGGTGGTGTATCGAGTACATTTCGTAATTCTAAAGTTGCCCCATTTCATTGGAGAACTGATTTAGAATTTGAAGAAGTCGATGAGATCCAAAGAGTGTGTGGATCGGCTATGAGATTATGGGGATATGTAGAGGCAACTAATGCTACTCATCAAAAAGAATTTGATCCGCTTACAGAATATCAACTACAGTTGTGACACCTAATGTACAGAATATTTCCAATGGATATGGTGTACAGTACAGTAGTATAAAATATCAAGACTATAAGAATTAGTTATTTTGATTACACGTGGAGGCACATCAAGATTATCCAGAGTGTGGTACATACATACATACAATCTTGTGAAAATAATATTCATGAGATGGTGTGCCATAGCAATATACATATACTCAGGAATATATTAACATGACATCTGTGAATATTTCGATATTCAAATATCATAGTTAGAAGATTTTCTCACTTCTTGATATTTAATTTGAAAAGACCAATGGTGATGCCGTTCCTCAATTAAAAAATAAAAAATAAAATTAAACAGATATAGCAGGAAAAAATAAAAAAGAATCTCTTTAGAAATATTGTGCACAGTGCGTGAAAGCAAAAATAATTTATGCTATAGGTTTTAAAAAAGAAATAATCGAACTTTGTTAGAATCTATATGAAAATGCATTTTTTAACACAAGAACTTATTATAATATCTATTCATATCAGTAAAGATCTCTAGTTAATTATTGAAATTATTTTATAAAACTCTCTTTGGAGAAATGTTTCTTAGATCTGATTATATTATATAATGCTTATATCAAATATTTTATGATATAGAAACTGACTTTCCTTGTTTTTATAACTATTCCTCATATGTAAGTCACAAAAGTCATATTTACAAAAAGTATAGCACATGTCTTATATATGTAACGATTCGTACCATATTTCCATTTGATTTAAAAAAAAAAAAAAGAATACGTTTACATACATGTATAATTTAAATTCACTCGATAACACTATCTGTACCGTTTTTAAGTGAGTATTTATATGTAAAAAAAGAAAAAAAGCCTAGTTGAAACGTTGTGAAATGTTATACATGCACATATGGTAAATCGATAAATGTATAAATTTAAAAAAGAAATTGGATCGATTTTCTCTTGCAGTTATCTTAGTTGATAAGACAATTTTCGAAGTTTTACACAATATATACATATTGTTACATTTGTAAATTTAACTATCGAATTAATTTATTTGCTAACTTATTAATCTGATTTATGAATCTCAAATTAATCAATGACTGTGTTTATATATGTTATGGTTAAAATGTATAATTCAGTTAATTCATGAAATAACAATAGTTGTATAGTTATTATGTCAACGTGCTTTCAGACTTGATAGAACAGTACGATTAACAGAACATTTGTTTTCAAAATAAAGAAATTGATATGAACGGATAACTACGAGTATTGTTATAGAAACAAAAATTGACTCTAAAGACGAATCAAATCTTAATTTTATACTTTAATTATATATATATCTCATGAATTCATATATTATCAAGTTAAAGTATGTATTCTATCTTTTTCATATTTTAATTGTTTGGTATAGTTATTTCATGAACTAATGAATTTCACGTTTTAACAGTAACAGTTTAAAAAATTATGCTTTTGAGAATAAAATATTTTATTTGTTCGAAAAATGATACTTTTGAAAGTAAATTTACCTAAAATCTCTTCGGATGTCCTAACAGTCATACCAACTTACAGATACTAATACTTTGGGAGGTGGTTTACCGAACATACGACTGGTTCAGATAATTTATAATAAATAACAATTTTGGGTATACACTACCAGTTTTATTCTCGTTAATGATACTTTTGTATTCTTTGTATAGTGATTGCCCCTTTTTTATTTGAATAGTATTTACCAACAAATGGTACTATCTTGAAAGATAAGTCGATTCTTTTTTACGATATCGATTACAGATAAATTCTTATCATGTTAACTATTTTGTTTAAAGTAGTAGATACTATTTGAAAATAATTAATCATTTTTTTAACATATTATTTTCATTGTGTTAATTTATTATTACAATTATTATTTAAAGTATAATAATTATAACACTTTTAATATATAAATTTAATAAGTATCTCTTATATGAAACCTTTAATGAAGTATAAAATTGTAGGAAAAAAAAAAAAGAGAAATGAGAATAAATTTTAATAATAAAACAAAAAGTTAGTAAAATTGATTAACTTTCTAATGACTCCTTGATTCTTGTTCATCGAATTTATTGTCTTGAATAATTATATAATAAAAAATAATTCATAAGAATAAATATGAAATGAAACAAACAAAAATTAGGTCGACACTAATATGATAATCAATGATATTGATCTCTTTATCTTTTTTTCACACGACATGCATACTTTCGTGGGTAAAATGCTTTTCCGCGTAGGATTGCGATGGACGTTCCGGGTGCGTATAAATAAGTAGGTTTCGTCGTACGTTAAGAAGGGCCAGCCGGCGCCTTCCAAACATCTATTTTCGCTAGGAACAGGAAGAGATGAGAAAACCTCCTTCCTCTTTTGTCCTCTTTTTATTCATTATCAGACGAAGGAATCACAATGTAAATAGGTATTTTATTATTAATGTAAGTAAATATATATATATACAAATGCTGCACTTTTAGCATAAATAATTTTTTATAAAATATCGTATATAAAAATTTTTAATAAACATATATATCAAATAAATGTAAATATATTTAATATCAAACACAAATATAAGTATAGATGGTTATTTAATTATTGAGTAAATTATGTATATTCGTATGTTGTATTTTTTACATATAAATGCAACAACGTATACCCTTTCGTTTTCTCCGAAAAATTGTGAATGTATATGTAAAATAAATGTAAATATATGATAGGTATTTATACTATTTAACACAAGAGTATGTTACTAAAGATATATTATATCTATTATATATATAGATATAGAATATAAAATGTGTACTAAAAATATATTTTTACATATGTATAGAACTATACGTATACATTCTGTTCCGTATAGTTCTTCATCTTCTTCTTCATCTTCTTCTTCTTCTTCATCTTCTCCTTCATCTTTTTCTTCGTGGCTTTTCTCGATCGAACGCGCATGCCTATTCGCGTTAACCACTCTCCAAATTGTACATCGCTGTAAATACGAATGCCGGAGACGACGTTGCCTACTGAAAATAATCACGAGAGAGTGAGAAGAAGAAGAAGAAGAAGAAGAAGGGACGCGATGGAAAGCCGTGTGTGTTTTCGTTCGTCGCGACGCCACAAAGGCGATCGACGGGCGTCGGCGTTCCCGTAACACGACGATCTCCTTTCAAATTTCGTATCTCATAATAGAGAATAATAATTCATTGAACAATTTTATCAATAGGTATATAAAAAAAAAAATCTAAAGAAAAAAAAAAAACATATGTTGCGATATATTTTCTTTTTTTTTATTTTTACTTTTTTTCCTTTTTTTTTTTAAAATGTCGTAGAGTGAATTGAAACACATTTATTAATATCAATAGTGAATTCCATCGCGTGATTTTGAAATTTTCGCTACAAAAGAAGTTCACAAGGGAAGATAAGTCAAGCGTCTTTTTTAGGCGTGGCAGGTTTGTGGTGCATTTTAGGTGGAATTTTAAAAATAACATTTAAACGCATTCACGAACGGTTCATTCGTAATAACATTTTACGTTTCTAAGAGACCCGATTATTCGTGATATTTTTCATTAATTATTATTTTTCATTAAGAATAGACTATTTTATATAGCTATGAAAGATAAACATTCAATCGGAAGAAATTCAATGGAACAAAGAGTTTGCAAACGAACCTATCAACATCAAGAATTTAACTTTGAGATTTGGTTAGTTGATTAAACATTGGAAAGAGTCGAAAGGTGGTAGTGAGGGTACCATTTAAGCGTCGGTGATGGTTAACAGACTTATACTATTCCATCAATTGCTAACGTAAACAGTGTTTGAATAAACCAGATTCCAATTATACGGCACGCGCGCACAATCGTTTATACGGCTTTGCCAAATACAATAGAAAGATTCGTTACAAGTTTATATGAATCGGAATAAATCCTTTTCAAAAGTCGGTGGTGTTCATTTTTGTGGATCTTTATTAAATTAATATCATTTTGTTTGACCGAAAATGGCGAAGAATGTTAGACAAGTGCTCGAAGAATGTAACATTCAAGAGTTCGATAAAAGAACGCGAAAATACAACAGAATTAATAAAAGCAAAGACAAATTCGAGGAAACTGATTTGCCGAGTCCACCACCAGATCCTTGGACATCCCCGAGATGTTCTCAACCCATTAATAATTTATCCGTAGAACCTTCGCAAGAAGAGGACGATATAATTGCTTATTTAACGGGTATTCGTACACCACCGCCATGCGATAGTCGTAATTCCGATTGTTTATCAAGAAATTCAGCAACATCGACTATGGCTGTGGCAAGTCTTTATACGGAGGAATCCTTTGAACAATTGGACAGGCTTTATGAAATGGCCGAACAAATATTGGAATTTCGTGACCGTAGCTCGAAATTATTCAGACGTGTCAGAGAATTAGAAAAACTGAAGGTACTGAGAATGGCCGATTTACGTGCGGAGAGAGCAATTTTTTCTAATGACGACATTAGCAGTGATTTACCTGACGAGGATGCTGGTTTTGCTGAATCTTTATTGGATGCAATAATATCGAGCAGTCGAGATTCCCAACTTCAAAGACGAAACCCAAGGTCACCGTCTTCTTCGAGACAAAGAAGTCGATCGCTTGCCGTGTCTGAACAATCTTTACCACGATCACCGAATTTAGGAAATCGTTCGGCACTTGGTATAGAAAAGGCTACCTTCAGAAATGAAACTTCCGGTGTACCAAAAGTATCTAAATGGACTAGAGTGAAGGCTGCTTTTAAATGGGAAAGAGCTTGTCCGAATGATATGACAGATTCAAACATCGAACAAACACCAACACCAAATACACCGACTACGAAATACCTTCGAATTCCAGATATTGCATCTGGGAATTGGTCTGGTACAGGAGAACTCTCAGGACCCTCCACTCCAATTGGCCGACCCTCATCAGCTTCCTCCTCTAACGAAGATGTATTCGATCGTAAGATTTTTTTTTAAAGTATCATTCATTTGCAAGTTCAAACATATAATCAAATTGAATTATTCTTAGACATTTAGCAAATCTTAATTTAATTATTTTTGTTTTTAATAAAAAGAAAAGAAAAAGGAATTTAATTTCTTTCAAATACTTTTTTTTTTTTGTATTACAAAATTGTATTATTTTATAGGTCAACGAAAGTACATGTCCGAGACTGGTGATCGACGGGTGTCCAGAATAAAAGAAATTTCGAAGAAAAACGAATCAACTGTATGCAACGAATTACCAAAAGATGACGTTATTGTGACTAACAATGAGGACGGTGTGCAGAATGCGAGCGAGATACGCGAGGTAAAGGATCTTTTGCCAAATTACGCGCGGAATTCGATATCGTGTAGGTATACGTATATGTAACACTTGACCCACATATAGAAGCACACTAAACGATCAAGGTCTGCTTCGTGCAGGTGCATCGTTAAATGTCTTGACGAATTTATGGAGTGAGCCATTAACAACGCGTTTCGTCATTTATACATTTTATGATCGTGTATATACCGTGCATTTAAGTATAAATCTGGAAAATATGCGTATTAACGTTCTTCGAAATTCAATAAGTTCATTCCAAAATAACTAGGTGCATTTCAAATTGTTAGTACACGTCAAATAAAATTAACGAATGATTTCGAAATATTTTATCGATTGGAAAGAAAAGAAATCATTAGACATTTTATTTTTTTTTATTTTTTTTTGTCATAATGATACGTGTAATACGAGCTATTTAAAAATCATTAGAAATATTTGATAATACTATCCAATATTAATATTTATATTATCAAATATTGATAATTTCATTGGAAAATACAATGAAAACGTTTGAAAGCTTTAATAATAAACTATCTTGGAGAGTCTGAAAAAAAGTTCTTATACGCAGAATTTTTCTCTTCCGCGACATATCGGTCTACGCGTTAGTTTGTCGATTTAAAAATACATCGACGAAGCAAGCACGCGTGGGGTACATCCGAATCTTCTGAATATGTTCAGAACTGACACCGATCGTACTTCTGACCGTTAATAGTTCGACTTGTTTATCGAACATCCCAAACCAAATGGGTATCTGATGGTAATGATACACAGGACATCTGCAAGATCATTTGGCAAATTGCCAAAGAAAAATCGATCCTTACTTTACAAATACGATTTTCATTTTATAAACTATGCACCACACAAATGCAAATATTATTAATCAAACTTATTGTCGAGTTATAATCCATTTTCATTGGTTTATTTGATGGAAACGTTAAAGTAATATCATTTATTTTCAGAATATGCGTGATCAATTGTATCAACACTTTAAGAACTTCAATAATTCATCTAACGCAAGTTTAGATATTTGCATGGTTGAATTTTAACTCGACTTTATCGATTTTCACAGATTAATCAAGGAAAACCGCTTATTCGAATCACGAAAGAAAGTACTCCCGAACCTCAAATCAAGATATCTAATCCGAAATTAGGGATT